GCAATATTGCATACCACAGCTGGGAGCAGAAGGCTCAGCTGCCAGCGGTGGGCTGGTCCTCAGAGAGTATGTGAGGGTTTTCCCGTCCTCTCACCCTGCCGCTCGCCTCTGCTGGTATGTTTACCGAGAGATCGCTGCGTCAACAGGTCAGGCCCAGTGGGTTGCTAAGGAACAACTGAGTCACTGGATGTTTGACTAACCTCCTTTATAAGTGTCATTATCCGTCCTCTTAACATCCTCATGACTGTGCGTCTTGAAGCAACTTTTTCTTAGACGTCCACCATGCTGAAACCTGCCTTTTGCATGCCTTCTATGAACGGGACTTTTCTCCTGATCTGAATGTCGCAATCTTCTGCATGTGTTTTCTATTCTGCAGAGTTAAGCATAGCTGCAGTCAGGGGCCCCAGGCAAAGTCAGGCATGGGGCCCTCGGAATTGAAAAGACAGCACATAAAACAGACCCATTATACAGAAACAGAAATTTAAATTGAATGGACAAACATTATTTACGAAATTTGACTATCCTTAGTGATGCTTTAAGATATCACTAAGAAACAGTTTCTTGCAGAATTTAGGGTGTCTACAATGGCTGTTCTTGTTTCAAAATGCCACAATCTAGAAATAACTCAGCAGTATGGGACGTGCAGAGACCAAAAACTTTGTGAACTCGAAGGCTGCTTCAGAAATATGCGTTGAATTACTGCGGGGAAGTAAGTTAGAAGCTGGATATTCAAGCTCCGCTGACTTAGCAGCACCTCTGTCGCGGTCGATCCGATTCAGGAGCTCAGACATCGGCCAGCCGCTCTCTGTTGCTCCTTCTTCTTAAAGGCAGGGTTTCTTTTAGGGACTGTCAAGACATTTCCGAACCAAGCACTCATGAGAAATAAAAAATAAATAATTCCCTTGTCTTATGACCAACTGAAACAATTCGTACTTCTTGCTAAGTCCTGAGGTGTACAGATCCTGGAAATATGGAAGATTGCAGCCAATATGTTGACTCCAAAGTCTCCAGTAATAGAAAAAAGTTGCTAGACTTGGCGCTAGGTGCTTTTTTTTTTTAAATAAAAGCGCTAGAGGGGTCTGAAAAGTCGCTAAATATGGCCACAAAAGCGCTAAGTTGGCTACACTGCTGATGGTTTGCTGCTGTCTGTTTGTTTGGACCTTTCTACACATGCACAGCATATGTGCACTAGGGGAGTGGCGGCCTAGTGGTTAGGGCAGCTTAGAATCCTGAGGTTCTGAGTTCGATCCCCACTCCCACAGACTGCCACTCTGGGTCCCTAAGCAAAAAGACCCTTAACCCGGGCGCCGCACAATGGCAGCCCACTGGAACTTGGGGCCCAAGCAACTGCCTAGTTTTGCCTGATGGTAAATCCACCCCTTGCAGCAGTGCAAACTAAGTCAAAGGTAAACATTCAGGTACATCTACGGTTTTCTCTTTGCTTCCTCATTTGCAGGACTTAGATTTGTCTTGCCACTGAACTATGCATGGATTAAGATAGTGTCTGCTTTAAAACATGCTGGAAAACCTGTTGAGTGACATTTCAGATTACTGGAAGCTCGTTTTTTTAATTTATTTTTTTTTTTTTACATCCCAGCTGTATTTTTTTCAACACAGCTGTAGGTTTTCACAGTGGTTGACGAGGCGGGCTAACTCATGTGCTGCCAAACCACACGTGATTTCAAGAATTTCTCATGAGAAACACGCTGAACAAATCACATTTTTACATGTTATTATCTTGTTCATCCTTCCAGATAGGAACCACTAGTTAGGCCTCAGTATGTTAATGATTAGATGCTAATCTAATGAGGAAAGATTAATCTAGAATGCTAATTAAAACATTTACTTAAAACATTTAATCTTTTTGCTGCTGAAAATTAACCTGACAACAGCCAGATGCATGTCTCGCTCCGCCTAGCTCCGCTCACATACATCTGGGAACCCGCCATAAGAATTGCCTTTATTGAAGGCTGGGCCTTATCAAAACTCCTTGCATATGATTGGATAAGCCACTTGTCTGTCATCTTTATCGATGTGCTATTTCAACCACTCACACCGAAGCTAACCGGGACGCTGTGAGAGCTACGCAGGAAAAAAACAAAACAGAACAGCCGACATCTTGGATATAGCAACAGTGGAATCAGCTCAATGTCGGTAAATGATCAATGTCGTTTGTGCCATGAAAATGTGCGGATAAAAGGCAACATTGTGCACAGCAGACTTATTTTAAAAAAAGAAGCCAACCAAAAAAGTATAGACGAACGACTTAAAGAACTCGCTTCTCCACTACGTCACATGCAGGAAACACCCGCCCTGCGTCCTGATTGGCCAGACCATAAATTTGGTTGGGGAAATCACTTTCAATGAGCGGTGTCCCAGATGTATGTGAGTGGAGCTAGGCGGAGCGAGACATGCATCTGGCTGTTGTCAGGTTAGCTGAAAATACCAGAATTTCCCCATTGTGGGACAATAAAGGGATTTTCTATTCTATTCTGTTCAATTTTATGATGATGTACTTTCCCCCCAATGTTTTAACACATTGTGTGACAATTTGAAGAGTTCACAGCCCTTATAATCATTCAAATAAACCTTCATATCATCAGCATAATTCAATATAAGTTTTATAATTATATAACAGATATATGACTCTTCAAAGATCCGTTTTAAAGTATTTTTTTTACTCTTTTGCCTCCTTCATATGATCGAATGAATAAATACCATTATTTTTTTTTTTTTAGAAACAAATAATGGTATTGATTAGGGCTGGAGGAGTTGGGAAAAATCAGTACAACGATTGCAGCTTTGTTTCGAGTTTCTTTTGTACCGACCACAATTATGTTGCTGTTGCAGTTTTTTCATGACCTTTAGAGCTTTGCTTTGTCTAGAGTCCATTGTTGCAAGACTTCAGTGTAATCCTTGTGAGAAAGTGCTTATTTCTATTTGCATGCCTGGAATTTGGTTCTAGCTTCAACTCTCTTTTGCTTTCTGTGTAGCGACATGCCGGGTGGTATGAATTCAAATCAACATGATAAATTGGGCAGTTTTACCTCAATAATGATAAATGCACGATAAATGCTCAGGCTCCTCTATCAGAAATAAAGGCATATGCAGGAAATGTAGCTGATCTATTTGTAATGAATTTCTTGAATAAATCACATTACATATTACTTTCAGTTAACTATTAAAGTATTGTACCCATTCAAGTTTAAACATTCAGCAATGCCTCATTGAACAGGAGGACAATTTTACCTCTTGCAAAACTTTTTGCGCGAAGGTAATGGAGCCTTTTGCACATTTTTGAACTCAACAGGGTGGTTATGCTTTAGGAGGTGGTGGAGGTTGAATGTTTTGCTTTGGGTAGTTCCAAAAGTTTTTAGACAAACTTTGCATTTCGTGTTTTTCTTTGCTCGACATCTATGGCATAATTTTGGTGCCACCGAACTGAGCGTGCAGTGAGAACTCGTTTAAATTCGTAAATGCGCTCTCAACTTCTTCTCTGTGCATTTAGCTTCCTCTCTGGTCTCGCTCTGCTCCACAGGATCAATTGATGCAAATTAGTTTACAGCTGTGTTAGACGCTTCTTCACTGGCCTCATCCGCCATTCTCTTTGTTTACGCGTCTGAATTGATGGGTAGAGTCACTTGATTAAGCAAACTACCCAAGTCTAAAAGGGGAAGGAAATACCAGCCACCAGCACACACAAGAAAAACGGTAGAATTCTGTTTATTTCTTTTACCGACATGGGAAAATTGTCGCCGGTTATCGTAGTGAATGACGGTAACCTTAAAAACCGGGTTTATCGCCCAGGCCTGCGTCAAACCCACTTAATGACACCTAAAGGTCTGCAGTGAGAAATGTACTGTCTTGCTCTCGTTAATTGTAACACGACCAACACTGCATCACGTGCAAATGTGATCGGTTACCCAGCCCTAGTTCTGATTTATAGTTGTAGAAATAAGTTTAAAATTTGAGTTTTCAAGGCTCCCTCTGTCCGGCTGTCCATCCAGTTTCAGAAAAAGTTAATCGGATTAATTGGTTATTAAAACTAGTTTAATATTTGGATATCTTGACATCTCAGAATGCACCATTTGCTGAAAAGACATCCCACAGAGAAGTAAGCCCCTCTTTTTAAATTTGCTTTAACCAGCACAATTAAATTGTCATAGATTTAGCTTTAGGCGTTCAGTGATTCATCTGTTCATTGAAAAATAGTCTACAGATGAATTGATTTGCAGACCAACTTCTTTTTCATCCAAGTCTGTCCATCAGGTTCCTATATGGTCTGTACTGGTTTACTTGGTTTACTGCAGAGTCTTTATCGATCTAAAAGTGTCCGGTTGGATTCTAACTCCCTCCTGCAGCCCATCAGTGTAGGAATGTTTGCAGAGTAAAGTGCTGCTCTGTTGGTTTTGGTTCCAGACTAAAACTGCCTCCAGTGGTCGGGATGACTAGAAGATCTCAGTCCACCGTTAACTGTTTATTCACTACTTTATTAAAATCTGCCAGGAAATTGTTCTGCAGTTTTGGATTTATTTTTTAATTATTTGGTCAGAAATAAAGTGAGAACTTTTTAACCAGGAAATGTAAAGGAGTTTTAAAAATAATCTGGAGGAACAAGTGTTAAATGCAGCAGATTCCTCTCTTTGCTCTCATCTGGCTGCTTTTACTTTTGCTTTTTCAACTAGATGATCAACATTACTGTCTGACATTCCTGAAAGCTGGCTGTGCTGGTGTTACCAGTCAGCATTCTGGCTCCCTTTGCTTTCTAAGTCCATCTCGGCATCTCGTCCGCCCAGCTTCTCTCCCTGCACAAATGTCTTGTTTGTCCTCATCACAGACCTCCATCCGTCCCCGCGGGCCGCTGAAACACTGACACGCTCTCAGCATGGTCAGGTTTCCACAGGCGAGCTCTGATGTCGGCTGCTATCTGTGTCTGTGGGTGTGAAGAGGGTCAAGTAGGCGGGGCTAATCTGTGGATTTCTCTTTTCTTGTCTTTGAAGGGTCGACAAAGACCGGAGTGGAGTCATTTCCGACTCGGAGCTTCAGCAGGCCCTGTCCAACGGTAGGTAACGAAGCGTTGCAGATGTACCGCTGTTTCTGTTCCCTAAATCTCTGCCGCTCTTTGATTGAAGCAGCTGTCAGAGAAACGAGGGGATGGTATTTTTATCCCTGGGTTGGAGGTGAATTCAGTAAAAGGAGTGCTCATTTATTTTTATCCAAGGATAAAAGACAATCAGATGAAAGTTTACTAGAGCTGCTTGAAAGGAAACACTTCAGTATGTCCTGATTGTGTGGAAGTAACTTATTGCATATCCAACCCAACCAAAAGTCAAACCATTTACAGATGCTTTATTTGTCTATGCTCTAATATTGAAAGTTTTTCCCTTCGGCATGTTTTTCCCCCCATTTCTCCAAACCTTTTTCAATTTTGCTCCCTTTACACAAACAGATTCACCTACTGCTGTTTAACCCATACACATCAGTTTCTTCCAGTTGAAGGTTAAATATTTACAATCCACAATGAGATGTAATCTCCTGTAAAAAATATAAATATTTTTAAACTGTTGTCCCACTTTTAAATTAGCTTATTGTCAGTCATATTAATTCTCACACACTGTGGTATGGCATCGATAGTAAATACAAGATTTGTTTGCATATCCTTGCTATTGTTAATTTTAAATTACATTTTTTTTTTCACAATAAAACAATAAAACCTCAAACAACCTTAACATATTTTCACATTGTGTTATATTTGGGTTATTTATAGGGCTGAAACTAACAATTATTTTGCAAATAGATTAATCTGTCGATTATTTTTCTGATTAATAATCAGATAGCCAAAGGTTCCTTAAAGAAGTTTTTTTTTACAAACTCAAACCAGGTGAAACTACAAATTTTCCACTTGAGGAGTTCTGGATAGAGCATAATGGTATTTTTTTCTATTTTATCTTAAATGCAAAATGTTTGTATATGATTTTCAATCTTGGTAGAATAACCTCTTTATGTGGGTTCCTCTGTCAGCTAAAGTCATGTTTTAGAGTCTCTAAACACTTTATAGGGCAAGATACCATTGTTGATCACTTGCATACCCCTTGAGTTCTAGAAGCACAAGATCTATATCCAGCGATAGATAGAAGATCTTGCTCTTATTTTGGCATTTGAACAATTAGATGAGCCCTTGAATGATATATTACCTACTGTAGATTAAGTTGGAAAAAATAGTTAACGAGTCAATTAAATGGTAAAAAGCTAATTGAAAAGTTAAAATGTAAAATTAAAAAGTTAATAAGCCTAGTTAACAATTATATTTAGATTTATAAACTAAAATATGTGCCAGTATCAGCATTAATGCCTCTAAGGTTATGTTGCACCAGAAAAAATTTCATGGATTTCTTATAGAAGCACTTTCTGTTATTTTTGTTATATATTCGGGCAAGTTGGTGTTTCTTGTTATTACATTGATATTAATTTTTGCCATTAAAATATCCATATTTTTTTAATGTAACAAAGGCAATAAGGTCTTGTCCTAGATTCCAATAACACTATTGGCTTGAAATTTAGATTTTCATATTTCACTGAGTGCCCTATAAAGGGTTAACTATTAGTCCATTACTAAATGAGTTGATGATTATTTCAATAATCGATTCGTCACAATTAATCCAATTAATTGTTTCAGCCCTGGTTGTTTATTTTACAATAGTTTGAATACTTATTTAACTAATATAATCTCTCCTTATATTGAGAAAGCATGCTCCATGTTGAAAATGGGGATTTTTTTATGTTAATAAAAATATTTATTTTATGCCTTTTTTTATTTTATATTTTTATTCCCATATTATCAAAAATGCTACTACTGAGTATTGAATATTTTTCTGGACATTCATATCAATTTTGACTTTTTAGTATGAACCCTATTAGCTTTTTGAAACAAAGGCAGAGCTATAGTGATTTCATTAACTATCAGTAATTAGCCTCTTTAGCCAAAAAGGGATGCTACCCTCATCTAGCCCAGTACCATAGCAACCGCTATCATTAAGCTTTGGTGACGAGTAGTGTTAATTTTAGCAGCCATTTTTAAATTTAGTTTTAGTCTTAGTCCAGTTTCAGCATTGTTTGTTAGTTTTTATCACATTTAGTCGACATCATCGCATTTTTATTTAGTCTAGTTTTAGTCGACTTAAGTCAGAGCATTTTAGTCTTTATTTTAGTCCAAGAAAACATAATTTTATTAGTTTAGTTTTAGTCAACAAAAACTGTCAACATTTTAGTCTAGTTTTAGTCAGGACATAATTTTAACCTTTTACTTTTTTGTCAGCAGATAACGTTTAAGATTTCCTAAAATTATTTGAACATTTTCTCTCATCATCTTTTTGATAAAAAAAAAATACAATTTTAAGGAACACATGCAGACATGGAAGATGTTCTGACAATATTTGAACCTTAACAATGTTCAAAATAAATATGCAAAGACACAAACACAAATGCTTGCATTAAAACAAATAAAACACACCTGGCAAAGGAAACAAATAAATAAAATAAAGTGTCTTATGAACTTTACACAAGTGCTGGCTGTTTAAAGCTAGTTCACATAGAATAATAAAATAAATAGATTTGAGGTCAATGTTGTTAAAAAAAAAAAAAAATCCAACTGATAGAACAAAAGTGCTTTCCTTCCAGCTTTAGCTGGCCTGTCATTGTTTCTGGGTGGCTGGTAGGTTGTTGGTGGTGATGATGTATCTTTAATCTGGAACAGAAATTAATACAATGTCAGGATAGATGCACAGCATAACAGGAATTCCAAGTGTATAAGTAGCATATATGTCTCTTTTTTCCTTAACAAAAACTAAGTCTCTATAAAAACTACATTTGACCATCCATTTCAAAATCATACAAACAACCTAACTATCATTTTATGCAGGAATAAATTGCAGACATTTTTAGGTGTGCAAGCATTTTGGTTGTATTAATATTGATGCCAATTCAAATCAAATGTCCTTGTAATAGTAATATGCAGATAAACAGAGCAGCATTTTATGTCACCAACTAAAAACATCCCTGCAGTGGTTCCCCTAGCAATGACTATTTTGTGTATGAAAATCTAGGTTAAAGTTGCTCTGAATTATGTGTGGCATATTATTATTATTTTGTCTTATCCTGATAAATAGTTTCAGTTGGTTTTAGCATTTAGCATACATGTGTAGCTGCCGAGTTGTTCTGCGTTAACTATAGTTCACTTGCAGCTCCTAGATTACCTAAAGCGTCTGTCTGCTTTAATCAAACTTGCAATTTAACAGAAAGTATAGTTGCCCGGCCAGTATAACATATCTAAGTTAGCATAAATTTAACTTTACATACAATGCTATCAACAAGTGGCTACCGTCGCTACGTGCTAACAAGCTAACGTAACGTAGCCAACCTGGATACTAAATGCTATGAAAGTTAGCCAACATCAGTTAGTTTATCATTGGGACATTATAGCCATTGATTAAATGTTACATGATAAACAACCACCACCAATCTTCTTCTTATTGATTTTTATTGGCGGTTGGCAAAAAACGTTAGGTGAGCATTACCGCCACCAACTGGTATGGAGTGTGGACTACATGGCAGAAAAAAAAAAAAAAAAAAAAAAAAAAAAAAAACTATACCCTATTATACAACCTAATCTGTTTCAAAAATTCAAATATAACCCGATATCCTCTGCTTCCTGATTCCTTCTGCAATAAATCGACCCACCACCAATCTTTCTGTTAACTTACCGTAATGTCTTTGTGGTGAACTGCGACGTGTCTCTTCAGGTTTGTTGTGTTTTTTCCAGCTATCATGTGGCCATATTCCTTCCCTTCCACTAAAATCAAGCATTTGGGTTTGTTCTCCACTTAAAAGCGAAAATGTGTCCATATAGCACGTCTCCTCTTTCTCCTGAGTCCCGGAGTAGGCTACTCTGTGCCACCCGCTCCAGGTTTGAAAGTGGGTGTGTGGGAGCTGACGAGGAGGAGGCGGAGGAGGAGACGAGACAGGATTTTAAAAAACATAAAATAATAATATATAATTTTCGTCCCGTCTTTATTCGTGAACTAAAATGTCCATAGATTTTAGTCCTGTCTTTATTTACCGAACTGCATTTTCGTCTCGTCTTTGTTAGTCCACGAAAATTATTTCTGATTTACTCCCAGTTATTGTTTATTAGTGGGGATTTTCGTCTCGTCTCGTCTAGTTTTCGTTCGGTGAAAAATGTGCGTTGACGAAAATATTTTCGTTTAGTTTTCGTTAACGAAATTAACACTAGTGACGAGTGGCAAATCACTGTGCAAGAATTTGGCCTCAAATTCAGAAGTATTTATTTATTTATTTTTTTAAAGCATCACCATACCATTAAAGGTTATCATACAGCATCCCAATCTTATCTAAGTTCAGCCTTACTTTGACTAGACCTGTCTTAAGATCTCATTTCAGTTTTTCACTGTTTTCTAGAGACATTCAGAGGTGAAATTTCTCCATCTTTTCAGGTCATTGTTGAAGTTTTATATCCCAGCTTGTCTGACTAATCATTACATGAGGCACGTTAACCTGTAACCTGTAAAGCACTCGTCTCTCTATCAGGTAAATGAGGTAGAAACAACCAATATGCCGTAGTCGGTGTCCCCTCGTCTTTTCCAATGAGCCTGAATGATTTAGGGGATAGTTTCTAAAATAATAAAGATTTTAAACTAACACAGTATTATGCTTTGCTCTTAAATAAATTCAATTCCATTCAAAGATAGCTTTCCATTTTCAGTTGTTTTAAAGGCTGATGATGAGTTACACTTCCCCTGTTTCAACCCCATGAGCTCTGAAATTTGCTTACAGAGAATAGAGGAAATTAGCATTAGCACTCCTGAGGACTAGAGGGATGAATGCTAAGTATTGTCAGTAAATAAACAGTGTTTTCTTTTAGCTCTGATTGGGGACAGAGGCTCTACCAGTGCAGGCTGGTAAAGTGCCTCTGCTTTATTGCCACACATCACTGATCCACGCCTCTCCCTGACCTTGGTTACAATGCAGTTGCAGGGTTGAAATGCA